TTGACTAAGCAAAGCCAGAGAAGAGCAGAAGCAGGAGATGAAGTGATGATAAAAAGGTGCAGAGTTTACTGAATAATCTCAGTTGTGTATAACTTCGTCTGACCAGCACAAATCCAACAAGTGTTATTATTCCAAACGGCTATTTAAAATATTAGTAAGCTTAATATATATATATATATATATACATAAAATCATAATTTATTGGGTACTTTCAATTGGGAGGTGGTTGTCCCGATTTCAATTTAGGAAAATTATATTGAAATATTTTTTATTTATTTTTTTATTCTTTTAAAAAGTCAAGTAAAAAAAAATATATATATATTTATTTTACATTTTCTTTGTAAATTATGAAACTTTATGTAAAAACACGTGTCCTGCATTTCCATGTCACTACCGAAACTGAAACTGAAGACTGAAATTAACAACAGTCCTACATTTATGATCAGGACATATTTATGTGTCTCTCTCATAGCTACAGGTAGATAGCACCCATCATTTCAAGGTAAATGTGTTCAAAAGTATGACAAATCTGTGTGTAACTGTAAGGAACGTAACTACCGAACAACTTTTTGCTGCAATTAAGCACACTTTTTTGGGAGTCATTCCATATGATTTAATGTTTATGTGTGTACAACTGTTCAGAACTGTGCTAGCTAACCATGTGCTGATTAGCATCTTTGAGATGGGTTCAGAGTCACCTGAAATTGTCACTACCGAAACATGCCATCATTGTAGTGACAAAAGGGAACACGTTATCCTCATGTTTGGGAGAAATAAACAAAATTATAGTACAGTTATGACATTTTTTGTATGTTTTATTAGTGTTTTAGTATGCAAGTTTAAATTCAGTAATGTGATGTGGTCGCTACCGAAACATGGGGTGTTCTCACTGTGTGAATATCAACTAATAATCAATAATCAACTATATATGAATCATCAACTAAGGTGTTATGATAGTGTTTGGTTCAATGCATATTCAAACCAACTAATCCTTAACTTTTAAATCAGTATGATCTACTTTTCGCCTTTTACAAAAAAAAAGGATTCAAAATACAACAAATCTCAGAAATTACACTTGAAATATTGTTAAAAATGTAATTGTTATTGATTTACCTCTGAAAAAAAAAAAATATATATATATATAGAGAGAGAGAAATATAAATGACTAATCAATTAATGAATCAATAAAATTAGTATATAAATGGTTAATGAGTATTCTAAATTATATTATAAATGAATGAATGAAGATTCAATTAATATAAAAGACAGAAAGAAAGAAAGAAAGAAAGAAAGAAAGAAATCAGATCATCAGGATCTTTGATGAACGTTTGTTTCCAGAAGCTTTACTTTCACTGTTCATTTTATATTATATATTATTTTGGCAAAGTGGTGGCTAATTTCTATTAATTCATCTAAACTTATTCATAACTCTCCGACCTGAGTTATTATTATTACTATTACTAATAGTACTATGACAGATCATCTCCTGACCAGACATGAGTCACAGACAGACTCGAAGTGTCCGGATGTTTGTGCTTCAAGCTGCCCAAAACAACATCTGTATGAAACACTGCACACGCCCTTCACTGATGCTCATTGCATTAAATTAACTTTCAAACTGTTTCTGAAACACACAGAGGACGAGTTTAATGTTTTATCAACTTTTCCACTTAAACGAGGCATTAAATGCACACGCGGCTTTGTTCGGTGGCTGATGCTCGCCTTGAGTTTGATCTGACCGGGGCAAAACAAACATTTCCTCGCCGCGTGTTTTAGTCTCCACAGAAAGCCAAGAACCTCTGCTTGGTGCTCACTTTGTTTCTACTGCGCCAAACTATTTTAGCACTCGAGTTTTGCTCTTAAATGTAGGAGAAGAAAACACAAGCGCGAGCGGCTCGTTGAGGCGCGCAGACACAGAGCGGGCGGGTTGAGTCTGTAAGGTTCTCATGTGTTAAATAAGAGCGCAGCGCCGCTCGACTTCTGCTCATTGCTTAACCTAGAGAACGTCTGGTTTACTGTAGATTTACACACAGAAAGAGAGATGGCAGAAACCGCCCCAGCTGCTGCCGCGCCGCCGGCCAAAGCACCCAAGAAGAAGTCTGCAGCTAAAGCTAAGAAAGCAGGTCCAGCTGTCGGTGATCTGATCGTTAAAGCCGTGTCTACGTCCAAGGAGAGGAGCGGCGTGTTGGTGATCTGATCGTTAAAGCCGTGTCTGCGTCCAAGGAGAGGAGCGGCGTGTCTCTCGCAGCCCTGAAGAAAGCTCTCGCTGCCAGCGGCTACGACGTGGAGAAGAAGAACTCCCGCATCAAGCTCGCCATCAAGAGCCTGGTGACTAAAGGCACCCTGCTGCAGGTCAAAGGGACCGGCGCCTCCGGCTCCTTCAAGCTCAGCAAGAAGCAAACTGAGACCAAGAAGAAGGCGGCTCCTAAAGCGAAGAAGCCCGCGGCCAAGAAACCCGCTGCTGCCAAGAAGCCCAAGAGCGCAGCGGCAAAGAAGCCCGCCGCTAAGAAATCGCCCAAGAAGGCCAAGAAACCCGCTGCAGCCGCTAAGAAGACGACGAAGAGCCCCAAGAAGGCGAAGAAGCCCGCAGCGCCTAAGAAAGCAGCCAAGAGCCCCAAAAAGGCCAAGACTGCCAAACCCAAGGCGGCAAAGCCTAAAGCTGCCAAGCCTAAAAGAGCAGCTCCCAAGAAGAAGTAAAAACACTTTTATTCCCCAACGGCTCTTTTCAGAGCCACCCACTAACTCTGAAGAAAGAGCAATTCACTTTGTGGAAGTAAGGTTAGGTTAAGAAACAACTAATTGTACTTTACAAACAACACAACAAATAAAACAACAGACGACATCACACTCCATCAACAACTCGTTCACCAGCGTTGTAAACTGCAGGCAACACAATAAATAAGAGCAATAACACAACAACACAATTATTTAATATACACATGGTTCTGTAGAAATTTCCAAAGGGTGCCGCGACTAAAAAAAGGTTGGGAAACTGCTGTAGAACACAGGCTTTACTAATCTCCCACTAAATGAACTCTGAAGTACTAAACATACCATCTAGTGGTCCCTCATAGTACAACATCAGTTTCAGTTTTGCCCTTGTTCTCTTTTCCACAAAAACCTCAAGAGAATCTGGAGTAAAAGCAATAATTGATCCGGCCTTTCTGATCATTTTATTAATCCTCTTCTTATCATCCACAGTGATATTAGCTCCCCAGCAGAGCACTGCATAGAACAGAAGACATAAGAAGCTTTAATACCAAAGTTATTTAACCTCCTCAAAAATAATAATCCTGACTCTGGTTTCTTAAAGACGACCTCACTGTACTTTCTCCAGTTTAATTTACCGTCCAAATGGATGCCAATGTATTTATAAGACTGAACTATTTCTATCTTCTGACCATAGATTGTCACGCTATTACTGCTTCCTTATGTCTTCGGAAATCAATGATCAACTCCTTAGTCTTCTCCACATTAAAAAAAAAAAATAAAAAAAAATAATCACACCATATAACAACAAGCTGAAGCTCTCTTCTATTGGTCAAATCATTATTTTGTTTGATTAGAGCCACAAGTTCAGTGTCATCAGAAAACTTTTGTAGACAGCAAGATGACGGAGTATGCCTACAATCAGAAGTATACGGTGCAAATAAAAAGGTGACAAAAAGATAAAATAGAAGTGTATCTGAGTTTACCTCGACTCAATGTTTTACATGTTGACTGTGTATTTAGAAAAACCAGTTATTCACATATATTGTAACAGCTTTAATGGATCATTGATCTTAATTTAATTAGGGTAAAAACATTAGATTAAATGCCTTTTGCCTTGGCAATTATTTTGAACTACTTTAGCACACCGTCACAATTTCGTTGTTTCTTAATACAGCACAATCAGACCGCCAGCTGTGGGGGCGTGGCTTCGGCGGTGGGTGTTGGAGGGAAGTTCAGTGATTGGTTTGAAATCTTACAGGCTCTAAACCAATGGGCGACTCGCACGCTCTTTTAAAAACAGTAGAGCGGGGCTCATGGGTTTATTATTTCTGGTTTATACGCGTAGACATTTATACATTCAGCAATGAGTGGAAGAGGCAAAACCGGTGGCAAGGCGAGAGCAAAGGCCAAGAGTCGCTCCTCTAGAGCAGGACTGCAGTTCCCCGTCGGTCGTGTTCACAGGCTTCTCCGCAAAGGTAACTACGCACAGCGCGTCGGTGCCGGAGCTCCCGTTTATCTGGCGGCTGTGCTCGAGTATCTCACCGCCGAGATCCTGGAGTTGGCTGGAAACGCCGCCAGAGACAACAAGAAGACCCGCATCATTCCCCGTCACCTGCAGCTGGCGGTGCGCAATGATGAGGAGCTGAACAAACTCCTGGGCCGAGTGACCATCGCTCAGGGCGGCGTGCTGCCCAACATCCAGGCCGTGCTGCTGCCCAAGAAGAGCGAGAAACCCGCCAAAGCCAAATAAACAGATTCTAGTCTGTTTCTGAAACCAAAGGCTCTTTTAAGAGCCGCCCATTTTATCTGACAGAGAGCGCTGTTTTAGTTACCTTAGTGACATAAATTAATATAGACACTTAGTATACACTAAAGCAAGAAAGTTATCAACCAAATGAGTATAATGTACAATTAAGTGTGAGTAACTGCAAATACTATCAACTGCTGGAGACTATTTAAGCCCAAGGAATACATATAAACCAAAGGATAAATGGATATTTCAGAAGAATTATATAAAACAATGTTAGTCGAAAACTTGTGAAGAGTGTATTAGTGTATGTGTTTGATGCATAAAATAATAAACACAACAAAGCATTTTGAGCGGGAAACAAACGGCTCTATTTGAAAATAGGAGGTGCGCAGTCATTGGCTAGCAGTCATGCGCAGACGTCACACATCAGCCAATCACAAGCCTCTACACCTTTATGACGCCATAAGCTGTGGCCGTATGATGCTTTAAAAGCAGGCGCGTAACATACAGGAGCATTTTCTACGCACGCACCGCCGGGAAGAGCGCCCCAGCCACCGGCGGCGTCAAGAAGCCCCACCGTTACAGGCCCGGGACCGTGGCTCTCCGAGAGATCCGCCGCTATCAGAAGTCCACCGAGCTGCTGATCCGCAAACTGCCTTTCCAGCGTCTGGTGCGAGAAATCGCTCAGGATTTCAAGACGGACCTGCGCTTCCAGAGCTCCGCTGTCATGGCCCTGCAGGAGGCCAGCGAGGCTTATTTGGTCGGTCTGTTTGAGGACACCAACCTGTGCGCCATCCACGCCAAGAGAGTCACCATCATGCCCAAAGACATCCAGCTGGCCCGCCGCATCCGCGGAGAGCGCGCTTAACCCCGCCGCTGCAGCAGCCGCGTTACACCCCAAAGGCTCTTTTAAGAGCCACCACGATCACACTGAATGAGAGTTTCTACTGTAATGCTGAATATAAATCAAAAACTAACATAGCCTTTGAAGGAATTCTGTCTAGGTCTTTTTATTGCGTCTGAACAGTTTGTTTCCCATTACTACAAAGAACACACACATAACAGATGTGTAACTTCGTTACTAACTGTTGTGTAATGACATTAGCTCCTATGTAAATAAAATAATAAAATAATACTTATATGCATGTGTATGTAATACATCCAAGTGCAAATACATAAATATTAAGTTCATTATTATAAATTGTACCTGTAGCTCTCAGTTTACTTTGGTAGACAATGATGATGAAATTAAAGCCAAAGCGGCTCATTTAGAGTCCCCTCCTAAACCATGTAGAAAACAAACAGAAACCACTCACGAAATAAAAAAAAACGAGCTAATTTACAATAACAAATACATAAATATAAATAACTAAAAATAAATTGCATGTCATAAAACCTAGAAATGAAATATACTCCAAAAACAATCTATATGGTACATAAAATACATCAAAACAAAGAAAAAGACAAAATACATTATTACAAGGCAGCATTTAAATGACCGTGTATCTTTTATAAGATGTTAAAGAGGAAAATGTTTTTCTTGCTAAATGGGATAAACCATTCCATAATTTAATACCGCTAACTTTTATCAAGTATTGCAAACTGACGAGTTAAATACAAGTGAACGTGAATTTAAAATGTTGATCAATTAATGCTGCTGAATTTCTTTAACTCTTGTAGGTTTGTGAATAAGAGGAAAATAACTAGAATAAAGAATATTAAGAACATCTGCAGTAGGAGTATCAGATTAATTTTTTAAGAGATTTATGTTAAAATCCACTAAAGTATAACATTATTTGTGCTCATTGCTTATCAAATCAGTAAGTTGGCCTAAGTATCATTAAACTCTTGAATACTGGAATCAGGTGCTCGGTAAATAACACCAACAATAACATTTCTTCCTCCGGGGCCAACTGAGACCTCAACAAATACATGTTCCACTAATATCATCCCTAATGTTAAATTCATAATCTTCATGAATAAACAAAGATAATCAATCCACTTCCCAACCTGTGCTTTCTAACACAATGCACCGAGTTATATTTAAATAATTTAAACATTTCTCTATAATTTTCCTTTAACCATGTTTCAAAACCATTTGCTTTGTTTTGGTGGATTTCGGACAGCTGGATGAACAATAAGCTTGTCGTACTTCATATATGCCTTCATTGCTGGAAGTAATTCTCTCCTTCCAGATATTCTGTTTTGTCTGAAATTGTGATCAAACTTTTGGGGAGTGTGTCCAGATCTGTCCCGGTTTTATTACAATTCGAAGACCATGTCTTACATGAGATTTTAAGGTCATCCGGTTCTTTTTGAGTCATTTCTAGACTCACCTTAAAATCATAGACTTGCTTTGACAGGTCATCAATCCTCCTGTTTGAAGAATCAACTATGATTTCTACACAAGTTTGAAACTTCTTTCTTGTTGTTCGAGCAAGGTTCTGTAGAAGTCTCTTTGCTGTTCCAGCAGTTCAGACTGGCGGCGCAGTAACATATTCCTCTGCTGCTGTTTGTGTGATTTGGGCAACAATTTAAAGTAGACTGTTTAGACTGTTCTTAGCTCAATCTTCAAATATACATATACTTCAGGCAGGATTCTTCAGATTATTGTTTGATTGAAAACCTTACACAAGTTCAGAAAAACACTGCAGCAGCATCTCAGCCGGCGGGGTTTGATCTGTGCTTAATACATGCAAACATGATGCAGATGATCTTATAAATCTTCTTTGTCTAGTGAATCATGGAAAACATGGATTTTAATATGAAACACAGGACAGACACTGTTAGATCAGGTTTGGATTAAACCTCATTGTGTCCTGCTCTAACTAGCGGGGGAGGGGTGCGCCATGTGACGCGCGCTGGTTTCACTTAGGTCCTGTAAGCAACTGTAAACTGCCTCCCTGGAGCGCATGTCTTTTATTCGGTTTCGACGCTAGACTGAAGCAAGAAATATTTTCAGCATTCCTGGAAGAGGCAAAGGCGGTAAAGGAGTCGGGAAAGGAGGCGCTAAGCCGCACCGTAAAGTGCTGCGGGATAACATCCAGGGAATCACCAAACCCCGTCACCAAGTACACCAGCTCCAAGTAGAGCTCCGCCGCAGCGCACACACAAAGGCTCTTTTAAGAGCCACACATCTTCTCACTGAAAGAGCTGTGGTTCAAGATTGTGAACGTTTTATGGGGTGTATTTTGACAATTGTTTTATAGTTAGAAATGTTGACCACTCGATACAGGCGGACGATTAAAAAAAATAAAACTATTTACTAATAACATTAATGAAGTAACGTTAAGCATTTTATGTCTGCTGTAGGTGACTTCAAATTTGGAAAAATCTGGTTAGTTCACTAGTTTATAGAAATATTTAGTTTGGTTAAATAAGTACTTGATTCAGATTTATTGTCTGTATGTAACTTGTTTTATGCGGTTTGTTAGCGTTTTGAAGTGTTCAGCATTCATAAGTTGCTTTGTAGCATTATTGTAGATGAAGTATAGATTCTTTAACAGCTCATCTGTTGACGATTCAGATTTATTGTCTGTATGTAACTTGTTTTATGCGGTTTGTTAGTGTTTTGAAGTGTTCAGCATTCATCACAAGTTGCTTCGTAGCATTATCGTAGATGAAGTATAGATTCTTTAACAGCTCATCTGTTGACAATAGTTGTCAATGTTTATCCAAAGCCAGAAATAAACAGTATTTTACTTGTTTGAGTCGTTCTCTGCCGCTAGTAAAACCTCACTACAGCTCGGCTGTCTTCTAGACATGTTACATAAACACAAGGCCTTTTCAAATAGCAAGGCTTTAAAAACAATTCCACAACTGACACAAATGTTTCTTTGTTTATTTGCACAAGTAAACAGCTGCATACATAGGGGTTATAAACAAAGAGTCGAATGATAAGACTCTAAAAAGTTTATATACTGCATCCAAAATCACATAATTGGCTGTAAATGTGCTTCTCACCCTCAGATCATCTGAGATCAGGATGAGTTTGTTTCTTCATCAGGTTTGAAGAAATGTAGCACTGCATCAGTGTCTCAGCAATGGATGCTCTGCAGTGAATGGGTGCCGTCAGAATGAGAGTCCAAACAGCTGATAAAAACATCACAATAATCCACAAGTAATCCACAGCACTCCAGTCCATCAGTTAACATCTGGAGAAGACAAAAGCTGAAACTAATCCAGCATTAAGACGTTTATAACTTCAAGTTTGAGCTTGAAGTGTACACTGAATGTATCAACTAAATATAATAATAATAATAATAATAAGCTGTCAATCCCTGTATTTTATCTTGTGCTATTCAAGTTGAACAAACATACGTTAAATTAATTAAATTATTATAATTTTTTTTTTTTGGTACTCGCTTGATTTCTGGTTCAAGAGAAACAAAACATTTGTGAGTTAAACACCTGCATACGCATTAGAAAAATCATATTTAACATGAAAAGACTCGTAATGATGCATGTAAGGATTCATATCATGCAGACACTTATTATGATTATATGATCATTAGGGTCAACATGTTATGGTTATAATATTTTGATTGAATGGTTAATATAAATGTATATACGTTTCTGGCTCATTCTGTTCATTCATGTTCACTAAAAGTTATATATATATATATTTGTATACAATACTTTCCCACTGGCTGTCAGTGTGGGCTTACTTCATGTTACAGTCAAAGATGTTAACTGCAAGGTTACACTGAACTGTGATCAGTGGTAATTAAAGTAAGTATCATTACTTCTACACATTTGTCTCAGACATGTACTGACGTGTGTGAGCTTTCAGTGGCTTCTGGTCTCTAGATGGCAGCACGTGTGCGGCGTGTGGACTTTCACGCATGAGCCATGCTTCTGCTAACATGAGCAGAACTCAGTGTGCGGCTCAGTGATGCACAGCCAGGGTTGTAACGACTTATTTCATCAGACACAAATTCTGACACAAATAAAGTCTGAGCACAGAAAAACGAGAGGAGTGGAGGAGAGCTGCACTGAAGAGAGGAAAGAACTAAAGCATAACTAAATGCTTATTATATTTCAACATCTGCTTCTGCCGTCATTTACTCAGGAATATTATTAAAACCAATCTAATGACACAGTCTAATACATTGTCTAATTAGTCTAATTATGGGAACAATAGCAATATCACAAATCGTCATTCAGCGTAACAGATCTATTTATGTAAAAATGAAACAATACACTTATTTTGATCTGTATAAAATTGTATTAAAATACAAAAAAACATATGTGATCTTACTACGTTATTCTATTTTAAATGACATTCACTTTCCTACGAAAACTTCTTGCTGACAAATGAATAAAACCTAGTGGTTTGAAGGACATTAGCAAAGTATAAAGATTGAAAAATTAAAGTTAATTAGTATTTGAGGGCTGCACTGTGATGCTTAAATACAGTCTTTTAATTTGTCATCAACTGATTAATGTTTAAAAAATGCCTAACAATATTTTTTGGTATATTAATATTGTTACACTGAATGACATTTTAGTGGCTGTCTTCTGTAAATTATGGATACATTCTAATGTATGGGGGGGGGTTAAAGCTGTATTACATGTTTATTTATTTATTTGTTTGTTTGTTTATTTGTTTCTTGGTTTGTTTGTTTGTTTTGATGCTTGCAACCCTCTTTTCGTCTTTGACCCCTGAACTAACAATGAATAGTTAGTACCTAAGCGTTTATTAATATTAGTTGATGTTCATTTTAACATTCAATAAATAATTATTAAAAATCAAAGTTTTATCTAATATTATTTATTGAACCTGAGCTAACATGAACTAACAATGGACATAATAAAAAATAACTTTATAAAATATAAAATATCCCAACTAAAACAAAACTTCTGTAAGATATTAAATATCAAGCCAGCATATCCAGCTGCTGAAAACAAACCGTACGACTTCTAGTCAGAATTAATATAGTTTAATATAGGTTTGGATTTGATTATGAACTGAAAATGTGCATGATGGG